TATATATTATATGTAAAGATTTTTTATGCTGTGTCATTTGGAGTTGTTTGATGTGATGGATATATAAGGGAAGAGATTAATCCTGTGATAAGATTTTAGTACCTTTTAATTCTTTGTTTGATTGCAAAGTGTGGGATAACTTATTCCAGGGTTAGTACGAGGATAAGTTACCCCTACATGTGGGTAGAATAGCAATATTTAAATAACTTATCCAAGATAAAATATGTAAAATAACGAAAGTATCCCCTTAAACCCATGACACGGTCATGAAATTGCACACAAAAAATATTTAAGTTAAATAAGATGATTTCTTTAAAAGAATGAACAATTGAAGCTTACAAAGAAAATAAGGAAAAAAACTAAATAAAGTGGAGGATATTTTTGTAAACAAACAACTTATTCTTAGAAATTATGTAATGAATATTATTTTGAATATGACAAATAAATCAAGCAATACAAACTATTCTCAACATAACTAATCACATCATAGCTTGTTTTCTAATCAAACGACTCCTTATAGTTTAATCTAAGAGAGAGTAGACTAGCTTAATGTTTAATCTATCATATAGTAAATTAACTATGTTATAGATGACTATTATTTTTTTAATTATGTATGTGAATATAACTTAAAGTATTCTAACACTGAAAACAAAATCATTTGTGCTACCTAGTCATAGATTATGCTAATTAGACAGAAATGTCTCCTTTTTTTTAATTGAAAAGCACAAGTTCCATAATTGTTTTTGGCATCTACAAATGTGAATGCGGCTAACGGGTAGTAGTTGAAAGTATATACTTAAAGCACATCAATGCGACAGCAAGAATGTAAAGTACCTTACTAAAATACAAGCAAGAATATATGTATATATAAAGCCCTTTAATTTGACTCTTAGTAATACCAAGGTAATGACTTTAAAATAGAGAAGAAAAGGAGTTGTTTAATTCACATGAATTCCATGAAGATGATGGGCAAGGGAATGAGGATAGGTGTGTTGGCATTGGTTTGGATTTGTGTCTTAGGGGGGAGTTTGGTTCTTGCTAGAGATTTAAAAAATGAGGATGAGAAGTTTTTTTGGATGGGTAAGGGAGGCGGATTTGGAATAGGTGGAGGCATGGGTAAGGGTGGTGGAGTTGGCGGTGTGTTTGGCAAAGGAGGTGGAGTTGGTAGTGGTGTTGGAGGAGGGTTTGGTAAGGGTGGAGGCATAGGAGGTGGATATGGAAAGGGTGGAGGCTTTGGAGGTGGATTTGGAAAAGGTGGCGGCATTGGAAAAGTTGGTGGCTTTGGTAGCGGCATTGGAGGTGGATTTGGAAAAGGTGGCAGCATTGGAAAAGTTGGTGGCTTTGGAAAAGGTGGTGGCTTTGGTAGCGGCATTGGAGGTGGATTTGGAAAGGGTGGCGGCTTTGGAGGAGGATTTGGAAAAGGTGGTGGTATTGGTAGCGGCATTGGAGGTGGATTTGGAAAAGGTGGTGGCATTGGTAGTGGCTTTGGAGGAGGATTTGGAAAGAGTGGTTGGATTGGAGGAGGGATAAGCAAAGGCGGAGGCATTGGTGGAGGAGGATATACAAGGGGTGGAGATTGTATTAGCAAAGGTGGGAGCATTGGTGGTGGCGTAGGCGAAGGATTTGGTAAAGGTGGTGGCATTGGCGGAGGATTTGGTGGAGGAGGATTCGCTAAAGGTTATGGCATTGGCAAAGGCGGTGGCATTGGTGGAGGATTCGGTAAAGGCGGTGGCATTGGGGGAGGAGTTGGCGGAGGCTTTGGCAAAGTTGGTGGATTTGGAGGTGGAATAATTGGTGGGCATCACTAAAGTTAATGTCTTCAGTTTGCATGAACTCAAAACATGCAGGACTTGCATATTTTAAGAAAAAATATTGTTTTTTTTTAGTACTAGTAATTAATTTCCATATGTGCTATGTAGCACTAGTTTTTGTTATTCACAAATTATCAATGAAATGAAATCGTACTACTTGATTAATTCTTCACCTATTCGTCTAAATATATATTTTTTGTTTTAATTTATGTGTCATAATTTCTTTTTTAATATGTTCTGAAAAGAATGTTAGATTATTTTTGTTAACTAAAAATAATTTAACCTTAGATTTTTGTTTTATCTCTAATGAATTGATTTACCGTCACAAATTACATATATACATAATACTACATGCAATGTTCATGTACGTATTGCACTCGTAGGTGAAAGAATGAGAGTACGTACCTTCACTTGATGTGCAAGAAAATGGTTGAGTAAATTTATATGTGCCACGCAATTAACAAGTGCAGTACTTAATTATATTTCTATAACAATTATATTAAAAATCATAATTTTAATCACCAAAAGAATTATTTCATGAGGCAGTATTCCGATTACATATACATTCCAAGAAAAAATAATATATGGTGGTGGAGACTAATTAGGGTATGCAGATTTTGATTTGATTACTAAATCGAATCGAATCAAATCGAAAAAGATATCAATATTAATTTTTCGCTATCGGATTATCAATTTAATGATTCATTCATTCTTGTAGTAAAGATTTGAAGATTTGGTTGAACATTTTCTTAATTTTTTTTTCTTTAATTCCTTGTTATGCTGATTAGGGTGTACATAGGTCGGTGTGGTTTGATTTTTCATTTAAAAAAACATAAATCAATTATGTCGGTTTATTAAATCTAAAAACCAAATCAAACCACATAAAGTCGGTTTTGCAGCTTCGACTTTAGTCGGTTCTTTCGTTTTTTACAACTATACGGTGTTTGAAAAAGAGATCAAATATATTTTCACTTACCTGTGTGATAAGCTAGACTTAAAAAATGTTAAATGAATAGAAATTTTCAAAAAGACGGTAAAATTCACATGAGTACAAAATATTTTTTTTGAAATATCAACGATAAATAAAATAAAATTATATATATATATATATAAATGATATTTACAAAATTTTCCAAGCCCAAATTTGAAATAAAATATATAAACATTGAAAACTATAAACTAACTAAAAATATATTAACAAAGTAGATTATAAATAATATTTTTTATCTATAAATAAAATAAAATTATATATATATATATATAAATGATATTTACAAAATTTTCCAAGCCCAAATTTGAAATAAAATATATAAACATTGAAAACTATAAACTAACTAAAAATATATTAACAAAGTAGATTATAAATAATATTTTTTATCTATAAATAAAATAAAATTATATATATATATATATAAATGATATTTACAAAATTTTCCAAGCCCAAATTTGAAATAAAATATATAAACATTGAAAACTATAAACTAACTAAAAATATATTAACAAAGTAGATTATAAATAATATTTTTTATCTATAAATAAAATAAAATTATATATATATATTATGTCGGTTTGGTTTGGGTTCGGTTTGACTTTTTTTCTTTTAATACCAAACCAAATCAAGAGTGGTCGTTTTTTTTTTCAACCACCAAACCAACCAAACCAAACCACAAATTGGTTTTTTTTCCCGATTTGATTTGGTTCATCGATTCGATTTGACTTTATGGTTTGACTTGTACACCTCTAATGCAATGCTGATTATTCCAGTGTGTAGTATATTATTCAATGATTTTAATTTTTAATCTTGTTTATGAGAAGAATGATTTTTATTTCTAATGAAGCATAGAACATACTAAAATAAAAATGAAATGTAAATATTGTCTAGCTCTAACAATATGTAACAAACTTTATATATTTCATTTTATCATATGTGTGACTCGTTATAATCCAAATGTACTACTTGATAGAAGAGCCTGTGATTTACTAGTGGTAAGACTGCTTCACCCTTAATTAGATATTTCGGGTTCGAGCCTTGGATATTGAGAAAACCTTGTTAGGAGTACAATCCTTGGATCGGTCCTACAGTGAGTGATTTGAATTTAGTCGGGACTCCAATGTGGCTCTGAACACCGAGAAAAAAAAGCATATGGTTTCAGCTTGGGCAATATTTTTGCTTCTATTTTGGGGACCACTGCTGAAGTGGATACCTCTGATGAAATGAAATAGGTACCTTGATAAAATCTTCCGTAAAATCTTTTATCTCTAATTCTTAATTATGAATTTCAATTGGAGTTCATAAAGTTATTTTATATAATTTAGTATTGGTTTTTTTCACCCATATCAAAAATATCTTATTTTTACAACCTTTTATTCTGAAAAAATAATCAGATAGACCTAATTATCCTACTTCCGATGGAACCGAATTCTATCTCGAAATTTATTTAAATAATTCATCTTTCATCTCCATCTTAATTAACTTATCAGAAATACTTATTTTCTATCTCGCTTCACAATGAAACTCTGTCATTGGTGAATTTTTTGAATGAAACGCTGAATTCAAGGAAGAAGACGAAGTCAATTTTTCATATAATAATGTATAAAATTATAATTATAATACATAAGTCTACACGTATCTCTTATAATTTTGTATAATATTATATATTATTTGTATAATATTGTATATCAAGTTTTAAAATATTTTTTGTAAAAAAGAAATGTATGAAAAATTTCTATACTACTATGTATAATTATGTATATCAAATTGAATTTTGACTGAAAATTTATAAGGTAAGTTTTGGGTTATATCTTCGTAAAGTAAATTAGATAATTGTATTTTTTTGTAATTCATTATATTACACAAAATGACTAAAGATAAAATTAATTTCAAAATACATATACTAGATTAATTTAATTAAAGCAATACTCTGTTCGAAAATGAAATATAGCACGTGCAAAGAGGCAAGACTAATTCATAAATATTCTTAAAATAAAGAAAAGTAAAATAAAACAATAAACTTTATATTCTACACACATTAGGCAGCTGACATAAACATTTTGAATTGAAGGCCTTTTGTACCCAAAATTCAATAATTAGACCCCACTCTATTCCTTCCCCCCATTAGCCTCTTCCTAAAGCAGCCATTAAAAATAAACGTGGGTTGTGGTGCATTGGTGAGAGTGCTTTATCCTTAATCAGAGGTCTCGGGTTCGAGCCCTGGGTATGGAGAAAATCCTGTTGGGAGCGCCACCCTCAAATGGGCCCTACAGTGCGCGATTCGAATTTAGTCGGAGCTCCAATGTAGACTCCGGACACTGAGTGGAAAACCACAAAAAAAAGCAGCCATTAAAATAATCATCATAATTAAAAATTAATTAAATCAGCTTAACACTGTAAAGGAATTAAAGACTCTGTCAGACATTACTAATTTAATGTTAAAAATTTATTAAGAAAAATCTCTGTCACAATTAATTATCATCGTTGTCTTAATTTATTTGACATAATTTAAATTTTAAGAACTTTTTAAGCTGTAAATAAAAAAGTAATTTTTGCATTCTATAATAAGGATGTGGTAATGTGAATGAGACTATTTTTTTCCTTCATTAAATCCAAAACCCTTCGTTGAGGCTCTACGCTATATGTATATTTGAATTAATTTGTTTTAATTTTTATATTGGAGTGATTAAATTTTATAATCGCGGTCTAATAAAGATGACTTTGTACCTAAGGCATTAAAACTCGAAACTTCTAATAAAAAATTAAAAAAATATTTACCATTCCATGACAATTCTGGTATGGATGAATTAATGAACTTCAATATCAATACGGAAATCGGAATAGAAGATTTCAGGGTTTGTTGGGTGTCATTTAATGCATTCACTACTTGCGTCTGACTTCTGAAATCTGAATCTTCTCTTCTACAGTTCTACTAAACGCCACAGAGGAACAAGTTGAAAACTTTGTAATAAAATAACAATTTTGTTAAGCTTTGGATTCTTCCTTTTTTGGGTTTAACTCAGTCAAGAAAATCAACCCAAAAAGCTTTAATCTTTGGAAGAAATGGGTAGTGGAGGCTTGTGGGCTCAGCTCAGTCAATGCTTTTTACCAATCAAAAGGTACTTTTGATGCTCTGATTTAACCCTATCTTTCACTTCACTGTTTGAAATTGATTACTTTCAACCATTTGTGTGATGTGAAGCAATGGGTTGTTCTTTTCTTGAATATTTTAGCTTTAAAAAATTGAAATTTTGCCCTAAAATTCTATGTGGAAATGATGCAACATATTGTTTGTGGTTTAGCTCAACTGAAGCTCTGTTTGGGTAATGTTGGTTCTTCCCTTAATTGGATTTTGCTTACTTTTACACAATTTCATTATGTAAGGGCTTTACAAATCTTGGAGATTTTGTTCCATTTGTTTTAGGGTCTTTTAATTTAGGTTCAACATTTCTTCAACTGTATAATTTTTGTTTAGTTGGGTATATGTGAAATCAACACAATTCTACAAGGAGAAGGAGATTGAATTTGGCCTAGTCTTTCCTTCGACTGTATAATTGTTTTAAGTTGGGTTTACTTTTTTGTATTTTCTTGCTTTCTTCTCTTATGCTGTTGTCTCCTGGATAAAATATCTTAGGCATAATACATATACAAACACTCAAACTTGACCTTAGCTGGCAAATAAGCATATCTAGATGCCTCAACTCGTCGGTTGAACACTCCAACTTACAAAATGATCATATAGACACCTTCAAAATTTATGTATCACGTCAGCATGGCGTGTCCAAAAGGCACGATGGGGACGATTTAGAGTGCCTAGTTGCCAATTGAGACCAAGTTGAAGAGTCTTGATGTGTGCACTCTCAAAGTTGGAGTGCTTACTTGCCAGCGGAGGCCAAGTTTGAGTGTCTGTTTATGTATCATGCCAAATATCTTATCTTCGTTTACTGTGTCTGATTTATGTTCCATTTTGGGTTCTGATACGTTTTGTAAACTTTTCTATGATTCAACATTTCAGGGTAATGAGGCAGAATGAGTGTTAAGTATTGGGTTTACAAGC